GATGTACGCGCGAGACGGACTTCAGCCGTTAGATCACACGCACGTGGATCGCCCACGTGGCCCCTCTGTGTGGCCTCCCGCGTCAGCGCCTCTACCACTTGGCGCGTCTTGGTTGGTCGGGGCTGCTGACTGGGCGTCTGACGTGGTAAATTTTTTTTAAATTGCGTTTTGACCTCCCGGTTTCCGATTTTTCTTTCAAAAATACTTTCAGAACCCAAATTTTCACCCATTTTTTCAAAATTATTTTCAATTTAATCCTACATCAATTTTACTCAATTTTTTCATTAAAATAAAATAAAATAAATAATAAAAAGAAAATTATATTTATTAATAAATAAAAAAAAGATTTTGGTGGGTGTTACATTCAATGCATGTTTGATTTCAATTTAAAACTTTTTAAATCTTTATTTGACATATAAAAATATTAAATTTATAATTGTGATAAAAATATAAGTGAATTTAATTTAATTAAACATACATCAAACATGTAATTTATGATTAAAATTTGACATTAAATAATTATATTTAATTATTAAATGAGAAATAAATGACACTAAAACATAACTTCCAAACTTTTCTAAACAAATACTCTCATTTGACACTGTTAAAAAGGGTCATTAAGTTAACTGAGACACGTATTGATTTGTTTGGTTGCTAAGAAATTGGAAAACAAAACAGTTTCTATAGGTTATAGGATTATGAAATTTGTTTAAATGATTAAAGCAAACAAAAAAAGATGCAGTAATTCTGTGAAGTTTTTTGGATCAAAAGGGAAAGGGTTTTGTTTTTCAGAATTTTTTCTCTCTTTGTTTCTCTCTCTTTCTTTTTTAAGATATAATTATTAGTTTTTTTTTTTTTGAAGTAATAACAACAATAATAATAATAATAATATACTGTGAATTTATTATAATTATTAATATTAGTAATAATGATAATAATAATTAAGTAACAAGAGTATATAGTTGAGTGATTTTAGTAGCTGTCCAGGTATTACCATTTAATTTTCTATGTTGAAAGAATCTTATTTCGAGATTAATTGAATTCTCTTCGTATAAAAAATATTATATAAAATCTGAGAGCGAGCAAAGTTTACTCTCTCAAACTAAACAAAAAGAATAATTTTATTCGAGATTAAATAATTTAGTCGTTGAATTAAAAATTTATTTAGTAAAATTTCGTAGATAAGCAATATATTTATAGTAATTTATAATTAAGATTATATTTAGACATAATCTAAACATCATGGACAACCGCATGTCAATCATTCTCTTTTCTTAATTACTTTCCCCCTCTGCCCAACGCTCTGGAAATCTCCAGGCTGCATCTTTATCCTTTAACTTCTGCAACCCTCAGACAAGATGAAATTCGATCGCATATTTTGCTAAAGAAAACGGCCATGAACAGAGTGCTAGAGGTAGAAATTGATCGTGGGCTGTGATTTCTATTTACCCTGATCTCTCTTTCATTTAATTCGTGGACATAAAAATCCTATTGTGTTTTTGTTTGGATCTTCTTTTTCAATCAATTTGGCTGTTGTTTGGGGTGATGATATGATTTTGAATACTGTACTGGGAATTGGGATTTTCTACAGTTCCAGTTTAATTGAATTCGAATCAGTGTCGATATATCAAATCTAGTAATCTCTAGTTAGAACCCATGTTGGCCTCTGAGCGTCTTCCGTTTCAGTGTTTGCCAAACACCTGCATGATGATCTACATCTGCGTCTCTTTTTTGCTTTTGCTTTTACTTTAAAACTAAGTTCTTTCTTTGAGAAAGGACTTGCTTTCTTCTGGCACCATTCCAAAGAAAACAATAGAAAAAGGAAAAAGAAAAACTGCAGACCAAATTTTAGGCTTTGTTTTAAGATTTCTAATAGCGTAGACTTTCAACCTTTTGTAAGTTCGCAGACTGCAACTTTCATGCAAATTTGAGAAAGATTTCTTAATTTTTGTTGGTCAAAACACATAAAAAGATTGAAATTATTCCAAGGAAATATTGAGATGAAAGACCCATTTTGGAAGCAATCATACACCGTCAAGCGCTGATCTCATACCCATCGATTGTCAACTTTTATCTCTAAAGATTTATCTTCTCTATCTGCTTATCTCTGAATCATTATTTGTTTCAGATCAGAGGTTAGCACCTACTTATTTTTTATTGTTGGACTGGTGCAACTTTACCCACATTAAGATCAACGAGTGCTCTTGTAATTCTTTCTTAGCATGGTTGATAATTCTTGTCAATGAATAGAGACTTTGCATTGAATTATACTAAACACCTGTTCACTTTTCTTCTTTCATTTTCTATTTTTTTGGTGATTTTTTGTGCCCAAGACAAGTCAGGAAACTTGAATTTTCATAACATGCTCATCGTAGCAGAGCCAATGATGATTACATTAGAAACAAATTTTTAGACATCAGTAAATGGCTGAATAATTAAAGATAATACATGATCTTTAGTTGCTGCATCTGGAACACCGAATCCATCTCCATGCAGATACATGCATTGGGCTATCCGAGCAACATTCATTGCGTTTTCATAAAGAGTTTTTGACATGAGATTATTTGTCAATCGTTCTTCATTCATCATTTTCCATGTTTCTTTTACCAAATATTTTATGTGCTCACGTGCATCTTCTTCCGAGACTTTAGCTTCATGCATGTAACACTGAATTGATTTTGAAACATCTCCCCTTTCTAGCTCAGCCTAACAATTTAACTCAACAAATAATATTAACATTAATTAGTGGATACATATATATAGCATATACATATGTTTTTTTCTTCGGTTAATAATATCTCAATAAATAATAATATACGTAGAGTTACACGAAACTAACACATATACTTTTAGTTCCATTTTGATACGGATGTTTTTAATATTTTTTAAGCATTTTAGGACCTATGCTTTTAATGTGTTTTAAGAAAGATTTTGTAAGTAAAATTCTTTTTCTTGTATAAAACTTCATAATTACCCTATTAATTTTTATAGTAATTAGTTTTTTTTTTAATCTAAATTCATATACTATCCTGTTCCATCAAACAAAAAAAACTTGTGGAATCTTTTTTTAGAGAACGAAGAAGCAGAGAAAAGACAAATACTAAACATAATATTTATGATTTTTTATGAATTTTAGTATCACTTTATATCATTTTACTGTTTGTTCTTTCGCTACTTCTTTAACATATAAATAAAGATTCCATAAACTTTGTTATTGGTTTTGAGGACCACAGTCGGCAAGGAAAAAGGAGATGATAAGAATCTTGTTCTATCTTTAACTTCAAGGATGGCAATGAGAATGAAGAATGAGATGACTAGAAGATGACTTTCAAATTTAAGATTTAAGATTTTCATGAATTAACGCTCGAAGCGACAGATGGCAAAGAGATGA